ATATACTTTAAATCATGTTGTAAAGCTTGAAACTATGGGTACATTCAGGTGTAATGGATTTCCCACCTTTTATTATTAAGGAATAATGATTTACATGTCTCCTTAAAAGCTAATGGTTGTTCAATTAAAGAGAAATCATTAAACCGAAGAGCTCTGAACTGCAAAGTTATCCGAAAAAAATACTGTAACTATGTATTTTTCCCATTTTTCTATGAAAACAGAGCTGAAGTTATGGCACAGTCTCCCTGTCTGTCAGACACTAAAAAAGTAATTAATGAAGGAGTAGATGACTGAAATATTAAATATCTGCAAACTTTGTGGAAACTACTGGCTAATTCATTAATCACAGAATAAATTCAGTTTGAAACAGCTTCCAACAGCCACTGGATCCAGCCCAGAGAAATACAGGATCCATTTGGAGCTATTTGTCACTTTACAGAAAAAAAACCATGGTAAATAGGGGTTACTGGAAGATGGAAATTGTTAGAAAATGTGGAAAATACATTCATAGGACATGAAATGCTGTCCATCCAACCAGGTGTGCACCAAGCTGTTAAACACATGCATTGGAGCAAAGAAACTGACCGCTCTTCCCATGCAGTTCTGTACCTTCAGTGTTTCCTGCCTCCTGATGATTGCCTTCCTGCCTCATGTGCTCCCCTCTCAACCTGAAGGTGCTCACAAGGGCAGCTATGCCCTGCCTCCGCTGGAAGGTCTCTCTAGAACTGCACTCACCTGGAGAGCTCAGGATTCTTGGACTCCCTAGATAAGGTTTGCTGAGATCCACCCAGGTACAGTGCAGGCCAGGCAGTGCATGGCAAAGCATCAGAAGGGGATGGACCAAGGGGATGGAGAGCTTCTGGCAACAGTGAGAATGTTCTACCACTTCTACTACTTCTACCACTGTTGTACACGATGCCTCTGGTCATGGAAGAAGCAAAACTCTGAGAGCCCAGAGGCAGCCTGGTGGGACAGCAGCCTTAGACAGCCATACTGTGCATGTTTAGGAGTTATGGCAGTGGTGTAACCAAGGGCATGGGCCCATGAATGCATGTTGAATGTCTTGGGGAAGCACGCTACTGGCACGTTTGCATTAAAATATGTTCACCCAGAAACATGGTAGAATATGCTGCACAAGTGGTAACCCCAGTTTTGCTGGTTTAGTGCACCTAAATTAAGGGTGTGTGCTGGTGTAATTGCCCTTCTGTGATTACAGGGTTATAAATTTCCTTAATTATAGACATGGGCACCTGCACTCATTACAGAGCATCAGAAGGGGGGCTAGAGGTGCAGAGCCTGGTCAGGAGAGGGCATCTGCTCTGAAGCCAGGCAGCAGCACATGGAGCCAAGCGGGACGAGAGATTAACTGAGATATGGAAGAGAAGGAGGAAAGGAGCAGAAGGGCAGAAATGCTGCTGGGCACATTCTGCCATGGCCAGAGGACAGGCTGGGCAGCACCTTCCTTTCCTACAGCTCGGGTTTCTGTGGTTCCCCCATCCACTTCAGCAATCCCAGCTGGACCACGGTCTCCCAGCCAGTGTCGGCCGCAGCCGGGACACAGGTCCTGACAGATGCTGCCTTGTGAGTGCTTCAAAAACAAACAGCCTGAGCTGGATTTATTTTTAATTTCAGGGAGGCTCAGAACAGTCAGCTTCACAAAGGGAAGCCCATTTCTTCAGTGGCATTTTAAAGATGATAGCACCTCATCATCTCTCTTTATGGTGACTAATGTGGAGGGAATGCTGGGAGGCAGCCCTGTCGACCCTGGAGAACAAGAGGAGGAACTGAGATTCGCTGGGACCTGGAGGATAGAATCCTTTGCTCAGGTGCAGCTTCACCAAATTCCTGGTTCTTTGCGTGGGCAAAGGGAGAAGGAGGGACCGGATTAGTTCACATGTCAGAGGGCTAATTTTAGACAAGATTCAATAAGTGGGCACAGGAAATGAAGAAGTGAAAAAGGAAGGACAAAAATAAAACTGATAGCAGTGGATACATGGACTGTATTCATCATGTCCCCACTTGTGATCTGTAGGTTTTTTTTCAAAATACCAATAACCCTCACTGGGTGTCACACAACTCTCCCAGGTGAGGCATTTACTATCAGTAAGCAGGAATTGTTTGCAGGAGCATGCAGGTATTGAGGATGGGGCGTGCAGCACAAAACAGAAGGTATTTGTGGATCAGCTGGATGGGTGACGGATGTCACTGCTGGAGCAGAGGCTGGGCCACATGCTGGCAGCAAGGAAACGGCCAGCAGGCTATGCAGAAGGTGGCCAGCCCTTCCCACAAAGCACAGAGCATTTGCATCCTGCACCAGAGAGAGGTGAACAGCAGGGAGTTTCACATGGAGCGGCAACAGGCCAGAAATACTTTGCAGAAGTATTTTTCATAAAGCTGGGATAAAATGTTAGCATATGTTCAGAGCTGGGCTTCACCTTCAGCTTGGCAATTGGTAAGATTTGTATTTCCTGTCCAGGAACAATTGAATTGCAGTGCTATGACCACCAGCGGGCTGCATAACATGCTTACAGTTAATTACTTCACACATGCATGCGAGACAATTATACACACCACATTTATTCTCTCTTAAGTATACGTAGCTGAATCCATTTTTGAGATTGCTTTACTCATAGCTATTCTGCATTCCATGTGGACTCTGACAGAATTCACTTACAGCGGGACTATGCAGAAAGGGCAGCGCTTGGTTGTGACGCTCCATCTTTACAGGAAGATCCCTGCCCCTCGTTTTCACTGCCCTCCCCACAGCAGAGGATTTGTGGGGCAGCCTTTTGCCTGATCTCTGCTCCTCCACAGCAGCAGGAGAAACAAATAGTTTTGGAAAACTCAGCTGCCTTAAAGCAAACTGAAACAGAGAAACTTTTGTATCTAACTAGTGTGTTTTAGCACTTATGATAACATTGGCTTGTGACTATCTTTAGGGACTTGTTCTTTGCAATAGTGAAATTGTTTTCCTCCACCAATCCTTTCCTACAGCTGTGCTGCCCGTGGCTGAAGAATCAGCAATAATCTGGCTCACTCCTCATTGTGACATACCCGTCCATCCTGTATTGGGAATCGCTTGTGTAGGACGGACGGAGGGATGAGTTCAAACCTGTGTATGATTTAGGAGGCTGGAATGGAAGTCGTTAGGAAAGAGCAGTTGTTCAGGGAGGTAATGGTAGGGAAAGACTGGCAGTGGGGAATTTGAAGTTCAGGATGTTAAGAAACCAAAGATCTCTGCATAAATCTCTGTCCGAATCCTGATCCTAGTTCCCCCCCCCCTTCACAAGAAGCTCGGGTTCAACAAATTTATTACATTTTTGGCCGGGTCAATAGCAGGAAAAGGTTTGTAAATTATTTTTCTTTGAACAGCTTTAGAGAATTGAGAGGAACAATGTGGAAAGTCAGAAAGAAGTACCTGAAAGGCAAACCATCACACTGACTTTTTAAAGGCTGATCTTCCCACTGACATCCCCAACCCCTGTTATTTTTCCTCCTTCCAGCCCAGGATTTTTACTACCTAAGGCAGGGGGATGTTATTTTCCTGTCCTGCCCACCCCGCAGACTCCTGTGCTGCTGAAACACCGCCAAGCAGAGCCCAGACAGGCCAGGCCTGTCCCCCAGACTGGGTGTGATTGGCTCGTTTTATACACTGGAAAAACAAACAAACTTCTGGACCACTGGCAGTCAGAGTAGCACTGGGTACTGGCTCTTCAGGAGGCCCAGGTTGCAAGTCCTGAGCAATTCCTCCAGGTCTTCGTCCTGCCCAGGCTTCCCACCGCCATGAATTGAGCGCCATACCGCTCAGCGCCACCCATCGCGGTGCCCCTCGCTGAGGCCTCCCTTCACGTTCTCTCGGGAGGGACTGGCCGGGTGTTATTTCTTCACCCGCACCCTTCCCTTCTCCTTCAGCACGGGCACGCAAGTCAGTCTCTGCCACAGTAGGAACTCCGTCCTCTGCATGAGGCTCCTGCAAAACAATGGTATCCAGGCAGGGCACAGCCTTGTTTACAGACTTCTGCCTCTTCCCACACAAACACCCCTCTCCCTCCCGCCCGCCTCCTTCCACGCGAGGCCCGGCTCCGGCACGGCCCGGCCGAGCCCGGCGTCTCCCCTGCGCGCGGCGGTACGGAGGTGCTCGGGCCTGGGCGCGCAGCGGCGCCGCGGAGGCCCGAACGAGAGCCGGGCGCGGTCGGGAAGGAGCTGCGGCGGCGCAGCTCCCCGTGCAGGTGTCGGACGCTGCGGGGAGGCCGCTGCCGGGCCCGGCGCTGCGGCTCCGCCCCTCGGGCCCTCCTGTGGCGGTGGCGGCGGCGGCGGCTTGCTGTTCCCGGCGCGGCCGCGGCGCCGCTCCCCCTCCCCGGCTCGCTGGGCTGCCCCTCATGCGGATGTGACATTTCACGGCGTTTACTGCAGCCGCCATTTTGAGGCACTGAGCGCTGGCGGCGGCGGAGCGGCAGCGGAGCGCCGGGCCACAGGCAGCCGGGGCGGCCCGCGGGCCGGGAGCAGCGAGCCGGGCGTCGGCCAGCGGCTGTGCCGGGGCGCTGGGGGGGCGGGAGGGCAGAGGAGGGGCCCCGCGGCGCCTCCCCGACTTCGCAGCGCCGGGGACGCCTCGCCGGGGGAGGGGGGAAGCGCCGGGCGCAGCCGCCGGGCCCTGACTCCTGATCTCCCGTCCCCCCCCCCCCCCTTCCCCTCCCTCCCCTTCCCCTCCTCCCGCTCCCCTCCCCTCCGGCCCCCGGGGCGGCCGCCGCCCCCGGCCGGTCCCTCCTCCCCACCCCCTTCCCCAGACCGGGTGCCGCCGCCGAGATTGGGCGAATAGCGAGCAAATACGTGCGCGTCTCGCTGCCTCCCCCGGCTGCCCGCTCCCTGCCCGCCGGAGCCCAGCCGCAGCCCCCCGAGGCGGGCGCCCGACCCCGGCAGCAGCCCGCGCCCCGCCGCTCCTCCGCCCCGTCCCCTCCCGACGCGGCCCCGCAGCCCCCGACGGGAAAGGCCCGGGCCGCCGCCGAGCCCGAGTCCCAGCCCGACATGAACCACCATCAGCAGCAGCAGCACCAGAAGCCCGGGGAGCAGCAGCTGAGCGAGCCCGAGGACATGGAGATGGAAGGTGAGGCCCCGCGCGGCTCCCCCCCAGGCCCTCAACTCGGCGCCGAGTTCCCCCCCGCCCCTTCGGGAGCTCCGAGATCTGGCCGAGCCGTGCGAGCGGGGGCTGCTGGGGCGAGCGGGGAAAGTTGGGGCATGGCAGCGTGCTTGGGGCCGGGGGGGCCGCGGGAATTTGAGCCGCGGGAGGGGGAGGGCGCGGGGAAAGCGCCGTACAAAAGGGGATCTGCGGCCCCGGGGCGAGGTGCGCGGCCGCCCCCGGGAGCGGGGCGGGAAGAGGGAGCTCCGTGCGCGGCTCCGCGCGCCGCCCCTGGGGCGGCCCGGTGGGCGCGGGGCTGGTGGCGGGCAGGCAAGCAGGCAGGAAAGGGCCTCGGAGTGGCCGCGAGCCCGGGAGAGGGGCTGCCGGTGGGAGGGCGACACCGCGGGAAGCGCCCGGGCTCCGCTTTCCGGTGAGGCGCGGGGCCGGGCCCGCTCCGCCGGCCCTACGGCGAGGTCCTGGGGGGGGGTGGAAGCTGGGGCCAGAGGAGCCGCGCGGCGGCCGGGCCGGGGCCGCTCATTGTACGCCCGCCGCCACGCCGCTCGCCATTTTTAATTAACCCTCCTCGGAGGGTTATTTACAGCTAGCGCCGCCGGCCGGGCCTAGCGCGGGGTCGCGGGCTGCGCGCTGCCCGTGTGTCGCGCCCGCTCCGCACCGATCCTGCACCGTCATGCAGTCGCGCGGCTCCCGCCGGCGAGGCGCTGTGTGTGCCGCCCGCCGCTCCGCTCCGGGGCTCCGCTCCGCTTTATGCCCCCGGCGTTCCCGCATCGCGCTGCGCCTCCGCCGTGAGCTCGGCTGCACGCGGCGGTGCGGGGCGGGCGCGGTGCTCGGAAGGCAGAGCGCCGGGCCGCGCCGTGAGACTTGGAGGGAGCACCGAGCTGCCGGCGTGCGCCTGTGTGTGCCTGTGGGTACGGAAAGCTCCATGTAAATGTGTCGGTGAGATGTGATGTCTGTGTCCGCCGAGGAGTCCTCGTTTGTGGCACACGGCAGCTGACACAGGGGTGCGTTCCTAGCACAGAAAGAGTTGGAATTGTGGAGGTGTTCCCGTGGAAGTTGCACACGATAACTGTGTGACTGCATTTCAGGACAGAAAGGTCATTGCCAAAAGCTCCTTTCTTTAAATGTAGAGCTGTATTATAAGGTTTACAGGTAGGACTTAGTTTCTGCTGAGCTTCTTTAGAAGAATCCCCAAATTGGCCTTTATATGCTATGTGACAAATATATGAGATGATTTAAAAGTACTTTGTTTGGGTGCGCACATGCAAGTTCACATTTTGCAGCTTATAATTTCCAGCAGCCTTTACAACCTGCTTTTTCTCAACACCCTTTATAATATTGACTATTTAATGCTTCTTTTTGTTTGTTGGCCGGGCACGCTGTGAGGTGCTGAATGCTTTCATTCAGTTCAGTGCTCTGTGCTGCTCTGGGTCGCATCCCTTCTGTGATGGGGATGAGAAGCCCGGGATGCCCCATTGGCAGTGGTAGGAGCCTCCTGCTGGCCTCTGCCTCCTCTGAAGGGGTGAGAGAAGAGTCTGTGCATCAACACCAAAAGAAACGGTATCTCAGGAATCAGTGTGAGATCTGCACACAGCTCATTCAGGGTGATGCTATGGATTTGTCTGTGAGAGCTTGCTGACAGTTCTGTGCAAAACCCAAAGGGTTTATTTAGACCTTTGGAGATTTAAAATGCATATTTTCTTGAAATGCCTTAGGTTTACCGAATTGTTGAGGTTGGATTATCGATAACTTTTAATAAAAGTAGATATCACGGGTGTGTGTGTGTATATATATATATATATTCGTTTATCCTGTAAAACGATGTTTGTTCTTTTAAAACATGGGTGTTGATGCTTTCTTGGGAGAGATGTTTTGAAGCACTGAGGTAAACATTTAACAACATGTAGTTAGTTTAATTCCAACATGTGTGCAGCAGTGTCAGATGCCATTCTTCCCTGAGTGATCACACTAGATTTAGGAGGCATGTGAAGAATGCACAGTGGAAAATCACACATCTTGGGGCTGAATTCGGTGAGGGCTTGCATGTTCTCCATACAGCCACACGAGACAAACCATGTTTAATGAGTGAAGTAGGTCTCTTGGAAGCAGTGATAAAAGCAGACAATTAAAATCCTCTGCACTGAATTGGATCTGATGTTCTGAGTGTCCGCAGCCTTGTGCTGATGTGAGTATGATCGGTGCCGGACAGGAGCACCCTGTCCTGTGGGAAGGAGACCATTGGGTCTGTGCATCCTGAGCTAAAGAAGCCTTGACAGCTGTGCTACAGTGTGTCCCTGTGAGATGCCTCTGTGTGATGCAGGCTCACCTGCTTGTGCCACTTCAGCCAGGGTAGGGTGATGTTATGAATCAGCGCTTGGTGTGTTCAGCCTTCTCATGGATGTTGTTTGGAATCGGTCTTATTCTTAGCGATGGCTGCAGTGATGCTTGGACATAGAAACTTTACAAGAACTGTAACAAGAATTGTGTCCCTTCAGCTGAAGGCAGCAGCTTCCCTAGTTGAGAACGGAGCTGGAAAATACAGCCTTTGCTGCTGGTGACTTTGTTCTCAGCCCAGCATTTGGACTGGTGCAATTAGCAATCACCATAAAGTGATCAAAATTAAAAACGATTTTTTTTTTTGTTTGGTTCTTTACTCTTTAATTTGGTTCCCCTTGCAGTCCTCTGTAGTGTTGTGTTAACGGGGTGAAAATGTGGCATTGGGGTGGGAGGGAAGGAGGAAGGCAGCAGTTACTGTTACACATGGCATCCTCGGGAATGGGGCTGGTGTGCGTTGCTGCTGTGTGGAGCTCTGGTCCAGCAGAGCTGTGCTCCTCACCTCCAGTGCCTGCATTCTGAGGAAGTTAACGGGTTGAGGAGGTAATCAGTGAATGATTGCGTGGAGATTCTGCAGTTTGTTTGTTTGTTTATATACTAAGTTTAGTGGGGAAAAAAATAAGTAATAGTTTTTCTGTGCTGTAAGTGGGGTCTGTAAGTTGCTTTATCATGCAAAGAATTACAGCTGTTTAGTTGCTAGTGAGTTGCTCTGTGGTGTGTAATTGAATCCAAATCCCCGTACATTATATATGCTTCCTCTGTAACTTCTTTGCACAAATGTGTCTAGTTGAGCTTCAAAGAGCTCAGCTTAATACACATCTACAGTTACGTCTTTCATAAAGTTCTTTCAGTGCCTCCATGGAAAGTCTCATTTGCAGCTTAATAACTGGAGGTTTCCCCATTTATAGTTGGAGTTTGCCTCTTTGTAGTTTCAGCTCCTGCCTGCAGTTACAGACGTGTGTTTCGCATTAGGGAATGTTCCTTTCATTGTGGAGAGCGCAGGAGTGCCGCAGCCGGCGCGTGGTGCTGGCACTGGGGCTCCCTATCAGCCCTGATGCTCTGGCACTGCTGGCATCCAGCTTTCCCAGTTGGGGCAGGAGGATGGGGGTTTGGTTTCCAGGTGAGGCGATGCAGCTGCTCAGAAAGAACTTGATGTGTGTGGGAGGAAAGTTGAAAATGGTGCTTTCTTGCAGTGTCCCTGCAATAGCAGGTGTGTGCTGCTTGCTGTTCACTACTGATAGTAGTTACTGGATTGTGTCCCACTCTACCACGTTGGTCTCAAATATGTAACGTACTTTTTTGCCTGTATTCTGAATGTTTGCTTGCTTCTAATATTTTGTCCTCGCTGGCATTCGCATTGCTGTCGGTGTGATGCCATTTGTGCACATGGGGTGCTACGCACTCCTGTGTGCCTGTGCCCTTCCTTGAGCAGCTTCTGCCTTCCGGGTGAGTAGGAGGCTGTGCATCCATGGCAGGAACGTGGCTATCTGCTCATCTGTCCTCCCTGCCCCTTCCCAACCCTGACGCTTTCTGTGATGGGTGCTGCTTACAGGAGAGGTGATGAAGGCAGTGGTGCTGCAGGCAGTGATCAGGATTCAGCTAGTTCTGAGGTGACAGGTAGAACAGAGGACCAAGCCCGCTCTGCTGCTGATGGTGTGCGGGGCACTGGAAGCAGCGACCTGGGAGCTGTTAGCATTGTATCCCTCCCACGGTGCTGCTCCGTGCCTACTGGGGTACTGGGGTACTGGCACCTTGGGAAGGTGGAATTGACTCAATGTTCTGTTATGTGTTCTTCATGAACTAAGTGCCTAACAGCCTGTTGGGTTGGTAAGTGTTCTGTGAATGAGAGGTGTACCAACTCAAATAGTGGCAGATGTGTGTTCAATTTGAAGGGAAGCAGGCAGTGCGCCATGCCCTATTGCAGACCAGCTGCATATCTGTATGTATCTGTCTTCTCTCCTTTCCACTTTTGCTGGCTGGACTCAGAACAAAGGTGACATTGCTGCCCTTCCCACCAGGTTGCTCCGCTTGTAATGGAGCGAGCCGTGTGTGTGTATGTCGTGCAACCCTGAATTTAAGATGCAGCCAGAGGTGGGGTTTAATGCAGTAGAGCAGTTCCCAGCTGCAGAGTAACTTATCACAAAGTATCTGCAGGGTGCATCCAGCCTGCAGCAGCCGAACCAGTTCAGCCAGTACATCACATGTGACATCACTCAATATTTGGGGTAAGGGTGAAAATGAGCTTGTTCAGAGCTCGTGAAGCACCCGCTTTTTTCAGTGTCCATGCATTTACAAGTGTGCATTGTGTGCTTCTGTTGCACTGTGAGGGGTCTCGGGTTAGTTCTGATTCAGTTTTGTATGCTGGGGCTGATGGTGAAGGAGGAAACCACTGGCTTGTTTGCAATAGAACGTAGCAGTAATCCACAGCAAATGTGTTTGGTTTTACTTCTGAACACAAACGTGTATCTGTAGATACAGAAAATGTGATATAGGCTAGTTTGGTGTAACCAGCAGGTTAACATTTACTACAAAATACCTTGGTGGGTGGACTGGGGGCTGGGAGCACGTGGTGTTACTTAGTTATTGAATGTGTAGGTAGTTCAAAAACACCTTCCTTAGTTGGCCATTTAAGATATTAG